CTATTTTTTCCTTCATAGATGCTGCCAGACCTGCTGAGCTTTTCCAGCAACTTTGTTTTTATCACTTATAGAATACTCACACCAAAGTTCCCAATCTAACAATTCCATAGGTTTAAGTCACTTGTGACTTCAATTTTTAAACTAGAACTGTAGATAGATTTTTCCTGGACCTATCATATACCGGCTTAAATATACACAGCTTTAAGTAACCTCTTCAAGGTTTTATCGCAACACTTCTAGTCTGGGACTAAAACTGACTCTTTACTCACAAGTAACCTAGCTCATTATATATCCTTCCATTTTCAGGAGCAATAGTGTACACAGACATCCTATTCCAAGGACTTCACAGGATTGCTCCAAACTCAAAGTAAAACTCTAAATAAATCTCTCGCTGAGCTATGAATGTTTCCCTTAAGCTTAAAAATACAAGTTCTTGAAGTCTGTAATAAACCTTATTTACCTTGCTGGGTCACAAAACAATCTAAAATAAACAGAAGCCCATTAGTATGCATACAAACCCATTCACCCTAAAGCCAGGTCTCAAAAACTGCTTTAAAAGAAATCACCATGGATACAGAAATACTTAAAAGTTAACTATTAGCTTCAGATACAGAAAACCCACCAGTTACTAACTCAAACTAGTATGATGTAAACTGTGGAAATTAAACATATATAACCCTAACTGAATGTTTTTAAAAATTATTTATTGCAAGTTTGTGTTTCTGGGTTTTGAGTTATTTAAAGATTGCAAAACATCTTGTGATATCAATTCTTAGTGTAGGAATCAATAGCTATATGATGTAGTCTCACTAATTGTAAATTGTGTAACATTTACATTGACCGGGATCACAAACAAAACTTTTTAGAATGTGAGAATATTTCTTCTGTGAAGGTATTCAAATTGTTTAATTAAAAGAAAAAGAAAAAATAAATTCCTTGCTTTCTGTTTGAAAAAAACTTATTGATTCATTTTAGTGATACAGCCTAATTACAAAATCTCAAAAGTATCAAGTAAAATTTGTATTACACAACAATCTATTTGTATAACGAATGCAAAGAAAAGATTAATGACCTATTTGTTATGTAAACCCACTACATATTGATACAGATCAATCATTACCATGCCCCATTATAACTCAGTTTGTTGATTGCAGCATTTAAACCAAGATCCAGGTCATTTGGCTCTGTATACTGGTCAGTAGATGATCTAGAACCAATCTATAAGGGAAATTTTTTTTTTTCGGTTAAAACTGTTTCTCATTTATCTAAACATTTATGGGTTATAAGTTTGATAGCAATCAGAACTGAAACAGATTTCAGAAGCAAGTAATAATTTTCAAATATTTGAGCCAGAGTAAATTTTTACAAATATTTAACTTGAAAATATGAATTTGCCACATCTCTACCAACCACACTGCAACCCTTTAATGGCTGCAGGGAGAAATTTGCCATCAAAACCTCAGTAGAATATTTGATTCCATTGTTAAAGAATGATCTGAACAAAGAAACGGTTTGGGTTCAACCCCAACTCAGAAAAAAACTTTTCCTCGAGTTTTCTTGCTACCTTTCATCATGCTGCTTCTGAGCTAATCTTGCCTGTAAAACCCATTCTGCTCTCAATCCATTCCTATAAAACTGCAGAACTCACAAATTCATTCCTTGACTGTAACGCTAGTTAACATTGCAAATGGTGCCCCTTCTTTGCATTCTGCTCCACTGCCCCATACCTTCCGAATAATCATCATCAAACTCTCACTTAAAAAGAAACATATCCTCTATACCTGAAAACTACAACCTCATCCTCAATGTCCTTTTCCTCTCTAAAGAAAAGAAAGCTTTCAGACAGTGATGGGGAAAAGATAGGAGAATTGGGACTCAACAAATTGTTCTTGCAGAGAATCAGATCAGACATTATGGGCCAAACAGCCTCCTTCTGTGCTGAACTATTCTGATGATTGTATAAGTGAATATGTGCACATAAATCCATTAACAACTTTCCCACAAGTCCAGATTTGAATCCCTGCAATCAGGTTTCTTCTCTGTCACAGCACTGAAATAGTATGAATCAAAGGTACAATGACTCTTATCAGATCATGTTATGAGTAAACTCTTTCTCTTCATCCTTAAACTCTTTATGGGCTTTAGCATGATTGGCCTGCCCTACATGCTTTTATACTTGTCTTTCTGATGGTAATCACAGTGTCCCCAGCAATGGCTTCACTTACCGCAGTCACAGTCTGCAGTCCTCAGATATCTATAAGTGGATCCCTACTGCTCAGCATTGATAAGCTCTCTCTGAGTGAAACCATCCAAAGGCAAGTATCTTGCTCCTTATGTATGCTGATGATTTCTAATTCATCAGGCCACACTATCCAACCCCCACCAGCACAGCCTGAGTGTTGTCAGTGGCTATCTTAGACTCTAGTCTTGCATGAGCCACTGGTTTCCCCAGAAAATCAATCTGAACTCAAAGCCATTGTTTTCAGCAAATACCCCCAACTTCAAACTTCACTGATTACATCTCATTCCCAGCCACTTCCCGGAGACCAGTTGTTTGTAGCCTTGATATTGTATTTGGAGCTGAGCTGAGATTTCAACACTGTTGATCATAAAGACCATTCTGGTAAAGTTATTTACCTTCATCCTTGTCGCAGCTGATCAGCTGCTGAAAACCTCACCATGTTTTGGTCACCTCCATATTCAACAATTCCAGTCTTCAACTGGCTGGCTTTCCAATCCTCCATCATTCATCTTTAGCTCTTTAAAAACCATGTTGTTCATCTGTTAGCCCATACACAGCCATGCTCACCAATCACACCTACACTCATAGAGCTACTTTGGATCCTGGTGCCCAATTCTCAGGTTCAAATTCCATCCAGATCTCAGCCTTCACTGGCTTGGCCCTACAAGAACTGTGTTCCTCCTTCTCTTACCTCTGGCAGTGCTTCTTTCAATGTGCTTTAGGTGTTCCTAGCTGTACAAAAATCCCTGTCTATACCTTTCAGCTGTAAAAATGGAAATCAGACTCTGCATGTAACATACAGCTGATGGGGTACAGTCCATGTGGCAACACTGTCTGAAAAGGATTCCTGTCCTTTATCTCGGAGGCTCCGAAGTAGTTGGTTTGTATTGTGCTTTTAACCAAAGAGGGGACCAAATACTAAAATAAACTGAGGTGTTCTAACATCTTCAATAAGGATATATAAAAATTGGGACAAGTCTTATTTCTCCTTTTTTATATTAGATGACAACCATCATACTTAGGTTGTCATTACTTTGAAGGTTAGAAATGATAAAAGGGACTGATATTTATATAGCACCTACTAGGACCAGCAATGAAGCACATTTGAAATATCATCATTGTTCAAGGAAACATAGCAGTCAATTTGTATCTAGTGAGCTCCCACAGACAATATGATAATGACCATATAACCTTCTCTTTTTGAGTGATTTTGATCGAGGGTAAAATATTGGCCTCGCAACTGGGGAAAGTCTTCCTCAAAATTGCATTTCACATCAACCTGAGAGAGTAGACCCTGAATATAACATCACATCTGAAAGGCAAGACGTTATACGAAAACAAACCCAGAGAGTGCTGGAGAAACTAAGCAGATCTGGCAGCCGCTGTGGAAAGCGAATCCAAGTTGACATTTTGGGTCCAGTAAGACTCTTCTTCAGAAATCTAGTTCTTCAGTTACACTAGACACCAGGGCAGGAAAGATGTTCTCGATCACAGGGGAATCCAGAACCAGGGGTCACTGTCTAAGTATACGGGTAAACTATTTAGGACGGAGATAAAGAGAAATTTCTTCACCCAGAGAGTAGTGAGCCTGTGGAATTCACCACCACCCAAAGCAGTCAAGGCCAAAACGTTGGATGATTTCTAGAAGGAGTTGGATATAGCACTTGGGGCTAAAGGGATCAAAGGGTATGGGGGAGAAAACGGCATCAGGCTATTGAGTTGGATGTAGACAAACAGGAGGCTGGAAGAACACAGCAGGCCAGGCAGCATCTGGAAGAAAGGAGCAGTCAACGTTTTGGGTATTACCCTTCTTCAGGACTGGATGTGGGGGTAAGGGGAGCTGCAGGTAAAGAGGGATGGGGGAAGGGGTGGAGACAGAATGGTCCCCTTACCCCACATCCAGTCCTGAAGAAGGGTAATACCTGAAACATTGACTGCTCCTTTCCTCCAAATGCTGCCTGGTCTGCTGTGTTCTTCAAGCCTCCTGTTTGTCTACCTTGGATTCCAGCATCTGCAGTTTTTTTGTCTCTGTTGAGTTGGATGATCAGCCAAGACCATAATGAATGGTGGAGCAGGCTCAACGGGCCGAATGGCCTACTCCTGCTCCTGTTTCCTACGTTTCTATGGTATTCAAGTTCCGAGTGGGCTGTGAATATGTTTGAACAGTGCAGCACTTCCTAAGTATTGCATTGGACTATCTTTCTTTTCAATGTTTTTGCTGAAGTCCTGCACTCAAGCCTACAACCTTCTAAGTTAAAGGTTAGCTGAATTCAATTGTGATATTTTTTGGTTAAAGTTATTAAATATGAAATAAAAGCAAAATGTTGGAATCAGTGGAAATCTGAAACAAACAGAGAATGCTGGAGAAACTCAGCAGGGCTGGCAGCATCTGTGGAGCTGGAGAATCAGAGCTAATGTTTCGAATCCAGTGTGACTCTTCTTTAGAACTGTGATTTTGGTCTTGTACCATGAAGATGGAGGAAGTGAATGGGTAAGTTTTGCACCTTCTGCGATTGTGTGGGGGAATGATGAAGTGTGAGAGTGTTGAAGGAGTGGGCCAGGATGTCACAAAGAGGATAGTGTGCAGTGTGCCGACAGTTGAAGGGAGGAGAAGATGTGTTTGGTGGTGGCATCCTATAGGAGGAGACAGAAGTGGTGAAAATGATCCTTTGAAAACACAAACTAGTGGTGTAGAACGTAAGGGCCAGGAGAGCCCTGTTATTGTCCTGGGAAGAAGGGGGATGGATAAGGACAGAAATGCGGGTGAGGGAGGAAACCTTTGGTTGAGGATAGAGAGGAGGTCATATCAGAGGCAACTTGGGGAAGGTGACATCACTTGAACAGATGAGATGGAGATGGAGTAACTGGGAGAATGGAATGGAATCCTTCCAGGAAGCAGTGTGTGAGGAAGTGTAGTCGAGGTAGCTATGAGAGTCAGTGAGCTTGTAATGGGTGGGGTTATTCTGAAGAAGAGTCACACTGGACTTGAAATGTTAACTCTGTCACTGTCTCCACAGATGCTGCCGAACCTGGTGAGTTTCTCTAGCACTTTCTGTATTTGTATTAAATCTGCAAACTCTTTTTCAGTGTATTTTAAACATTGATTATTATTGTCTCACTATATTGCTTTCAAAAGATGGTACATTGTAAATCATTGGGGCCCCACTAATCTCCTCAGCTTTCGTTTTCTCACAAGTAACCAGCTTGGTTACTCTCCAGGGCTCTCTTGGCCCTTACATTCTACACCACTAGTTTATGTTTCCAAAGGATCATTTTCCACCCCTTCTATCTCCTCCTATAGGATGCCACCACCAAACAGATCTTCTCCTCCCCTCGACTATCAGCACAATGCACACTATCCTCTTTGTGACATCCTGACCCACTCCTCCAACACTCTCACACTTCATCATTCCCCCACACAATCGCAGAAGGTGCAAAACTTACCCATTCACTTCCTCCATCTTCATGGTACAAGACCAAAATCACAGTTCTAAGGAAGAGTCACACTGGATTCGAAACATTAGCTCTGATTCTCCAGCTCCACAGAACATGGCATTTTCTGATTGACCTGTTCAGAGATGTTATTGCTCATCTTTGGAGCAGCTGGGACTTGAACTCTGGCCTCCCAACTCAGAGGTAGGGACACTACCACTGCACTTCAAAGGGCCTCCACAAGCTTATTTTGCATTTTTGTTCAGATGGGACATACGTACAGGATATAATCAGTCCTCAGTTGTTTGAATTCTCTAATTTGCCAATTTTTACTCATTTGGACAAAAGAGCAGGAACTGTGTGGTTTAACATGTTTGAAATGCATTCCTTGAGGACTGGCTAAAACAATGCCTTTGAACTCTATATTTTCATCTTCAGGATTGTAGGCCAATTCCACATCAAATATCAAAGTATTCTCTCAAGTGCAAAAAGGCAAACAGTTACTAATTTGGACACCCTCGGGCCAGTCCCTCTTGTACAGCCAGTCCACAGAAGGTACTGCCTGATTTTGAGGCTAATTTGTGTTAATTGTAGTCCTCGCTCCAAGCAGCCACATTACTGATTAAAATGTTGTTGAAGTAAATTAGCCCTAATCTGTCTCTGGCCAACAGTGATGCTTGAAGTTGATCTAATAATGGAAAAGTGTTCAAACCAAGTTCAGGAAGAGGTCATAATCTTTTACACTCCCTCTGGAGGGAATACGTCTAAAATTAAATGTGTTTCAGCTGTATGAAATCAGTTCCCTGCAGACACAAGTTCAACACAAACCTGACCTTGAATTTATTAAACAACTCAAATTTGGCACCATCATTCTCAAAGGACAAATTCAGGGCATTGTTAAGGAAAATGGCATGGTTATTGAAGCAAGGGTTGTTGTGAGGTTGAGGTTTGAAAACATTGGCAGAGCAGACCTGGGAGTGTATTGTCTGGATGAACTCTAGTTATCTCAGCTGTAACCTTCATGATGTTACTAGGTGGAGTTCAAATTGAAAGATCTTCCATTTCCCACTATTATCCTTTCTATTGGCAGGAACAGATATTTTTAAGCTGCTGGCTATATTTAGTTGAATGAAAAGTTATTAGATTTGAACTGCAGAGAGCTAAACACCAACACTTAATGTCCTTTTTGTATCCATTTTCTGGATTTTAATCATTGAAACAGCTTGCAAAGACAGATTGCTTCTTTCCAGACAGCATTTTAAAACTTAGTAACAGTCACCCTTGTTAGTGACATAGTTCTCCCTGTGATCCCAGAGAAAGGAATGTGAACTTGGGTCTATACACTGCAGCTTTGAATCCAGTCTGTCCATGATTAAGACAATATTCTATTTTGCTGTTTCTTAGATTGAAAATTTGCAAAATTGTAACTAGTTAATCCTCAAACTTGTCTCTTTAGGGAGACATCTCGAGTGGTTATTTGTTACAGAGAGAGAGGACTCTAGCAGTCAAATTACAGCATGCTGAAGCCAACTTGTATCTGATTAGTAAATGCACAGTATTGGAAACACATTGTTTTTTCTATTTCTAAAATGATTCCTGTAGAATATTCCAAATAAAATAATATAGAATTCTCAATCAATATTTTGGTGGTGTCACAGTAGTAGTGTCACTGAACTGGTAATCCAGAGATGCAAGCTGATGCTCTGGGATCATGGATTAACACCATGACAGATACTAACATTTAAATTCAACACAAAATCAGGAATTTTAAAGAAGTTAGCCGTCGTTGACTATCATAAAATCCCATTTGGTTCACTCGTGTCCTTTAGGGAAGGAAATCTGCTGTCCTTACCTGGTCTGGTCAACGTCTGATTCCCAGACCCACAGCAATGCGATTGCCCCTGAAGTTGCCTGTTGAAAAGCAACTCAGCTCTAGGGCAGTTAGGAATAGCAAACTAATGCTGGCCTTGTCAGTGTTGGCCACTCTCAGGAAAAAAATATAGAAACCCACTGAGCAAAATATAATTGCTTTAGGATAACACAACATGGTCACATTATTAGTGGGTTTTTTTTTCAGACTGGAGGAGTATTTGTACTGGAGTTCTCCAGACATCAGTGTTGGGACCACTGTTCTTTTGGTATTACTGAATGAGATCTTGCTATATAAAGTACAGATTCAAAGTTTGCAATGATATGAAAATTGAAAGTGTTGCAACTGTGAGAGTTGGTGCAAGGTTGAACAGGTGGCAGGTAACATTCACATGGAGAAATACAAAGTGATTCATTTTAATAGGAAGAACATGGCACAACAATGTAAATTACAGGGGTTGCAGTTGCAGAGGGACCTGGATGTCTACGTACATAAATTCTTGTATACTTGTTAAAGGCAGTGTCCAACAGAGGTTCACCAAACTAATTGCTGGGGTGGGAGCATCCTTTGAGGAGAGATTGAGGAGACTGGACCGATATCCTCTGGTGTTTAGAAGAATGACAAAACTTACAAAATTCTTAAATCATAGACAGAATAGATGCAGAAAGGATGTTTCACCTGACTGGGAGCTCTAGAACCAGGGAAGACAGTTTCAGGAAAAAGGCAGGCCATTTAAGTTTGGGATGAGGAGAAATACCTTCACTCAGAGAGCAGCAAGTCTTTAGAATTCTCTACCCCAGAGGACAGAAGAAGCTCAATCATCAAGTAACTTCAGGAGAGAGATTGGTAGATTTCTAGTTACCAATTACATCAGGGATTTGGAGGTGGTACAGGAATATGGCATTGAGGTAAATGTTCAACCATGATCCAGAATGGTGATGCTGGCTCAAAGGACTGAATGGCCTACTCCTGTTCCTATGTTCATAAAAACATAAGAACCAGGAGCAGGAGTGGGCCATCTGGCCCATTGAGCCTGCTCCACCATTCAATACGATCATGGCTGATCTTTTTTATGGACTCTGTTCCACTTACCCACCTGTTCACCATAACCCTTAATTCCTTTACTGTTCAAAAATCTATCTTTGCCTTAAAAACATTCAATGAGGTAGCCCCAACTGCTTCACTAGGCAGGGAATTCCATAGAATCACAACCCTTTGGGTGAAGAAGATCCTCCTCAACTCAATCTGAAATCTGTTCCCCTTTATTTTGAGCCAATGCCCCCTAGTTCTGGTTTCACCCACCAGTGGAAACAACCTCCCTGCTCCAACTTGTCTATTCCCTTCATAATTTTATATGTTGCTAAATCATTGAAGATGGCAAACCAGGTTTAGAGAGCAGTCAATAAAGCATATTGAATGCTGGACTTGATTAATAGGTACATAGAGTACAAGAATAAAGGGGCGACATTGAACTTGTATGAGACACTATTTTCAACCTGAGCTGGAACACTAAGTCCTGTTCTGAGCACCAAAATATAAGATTGTGAAGGCATCAGAAAGAGTGCAGAGAAGTTTATGGGAACTGTTCCAGGGATGAGGAATTTCAGGGATGAAGATGGATTGGAGAAGTGAGGACTCTTTTCCTTAGGGAAGAGAAAACTGAGTGGAGATCTCATCAAAGCATTCAAAGTCATGAAGGTTCAGACAGAGTAAATAGGGAGAAATGTTGTGCAAGTATTGAGAATAAGAGGGCACAGGTTTAAAATAATTGGCAATAGAAACAATGGTGGTACGAAGAAGAAGCCTCTTCATGGAGCGAGTGGTTAGGATATGGGATGGGCTTCCTGAGAGTGTGGTGGAGGCAGGTTTAATTGTGGATTTCATTTGGGAATTAGACAATTATTTGAAAAGGAAGATGTAGAAAATTATGGAGAGAAGGCAGGAGAATGGCATTAGGTGAGATCATTATTTGGAGGTCAGATATAGACAGAAGGGGCCAAATGACACTGTGACCAATTCTGTGATGTGTAGGTGTCAGCTGTGGCTGAGTGGTATAGCACTCTCACCTTTGAGGTTGTGGGTGGAAGACCCACGTCCAGTACTGGTGTATAAAAATCTTGACTGATGTTCCACCATAGTATACACACAGTACAACAACATCTTCCTGATGAGATCATGAGCGGAAGTCCTGTCTACTTTCTTAGGCATCTGTAAAAAGTCCCATGGCACAATTTTGGAGGAGAGTAGGGGCATGTCCCTGATGGTCCAGCTGGTATTAATTCCTCAATCAACTTCAGAATGAAACACTGATTTTCTGTTCATTATCACATAAATGTTTGTAGGAACTTGTTGTGTGAAAATTAGCTGCAGTATTTTTTTACTTAATAACAGAAACTATTTTCCCTGTCTAGTGATGGCCCTAACTGATGGGAGTCGACAGTCAGTTATCCCTGAAAACATCTGCCATCAACATTTAATGCTGGAAGCATTGAATCCAGCCTGAGATGTAGACAGTACTTTCTTGGCTGTGATGTGCTTTGGATGCCATGAACAGCAAGAACTCAATGCAGATTATTTTTCTGGGTTTTTTTTTGTCTCATTTTACATGATTTGAACATATCCCGTGAGGTGTTTAGATTTCATACGTGGTTTGTTAGCCATGTGATTAATTTTTCACTGGTAAAATCACTTTTGAAATGCAATGGGGAATGGAATGCTGCCTGTGATTAACAACCCAATCCCAAAAAAGAGGACCTTTTCAAGCTCTGGCCTTTCCACGTTGTTAGCAGAAGCTAATTAGGAACAAAACATATATTCTGCCATTTCATTTTAAAAAGATATCAAACTTTCAATCCTACACTTATGTTGTATCTTCAAAGTTCACATAAAACATTTCAAAGCATATTCTGTCTTTTTGTTATTGGATATAGACGAAAGCCTTTTTAAGGTCAAGCCCAATGAATAATGTGTTTTGTTCTGGGTAGTTACAGTCTGTTTTCCAAAATTAATCAAACTTCATTTCATCACTTTAGTCTGTGACAACAGTGGTACATTCTGATGTTTCCTGACTACAACGTTCCATTTCCCATCTCAAATCATTTCCAATATTTAGTGGATAAAAGCGTGGACCAGTGCTTTGAAATATTGGGCTGGAGTCCAGGACCTGTATAAAGTTCAAAAATAAATGCAAAATCATAACAATTAGGAACAAGACCGTTCAGCCCATCGTGTCTGTTCCACCAGTCAATTTGATCATAGCTGTTCTTGGGTCTCAACTACACTTTCCCACCATTCTCGATATCCCTGAATTCCCTCAGAGATGAAAGATCTGTCTGTTTCAAATTAAATAAACTTAAAGATGGAGTATCCACATTCTGCTGGGCTAAAGAACTCTAAAGAATCACAGCCCTTCGAGTGAAAACATTGCTCCTTTCCCCACTCCTAAATGATCAGCCCCTTATCCTGAGCCTCTATTTTAGATTCACCAGCCAGGTGAAACAAACTTTCCGTTTGTACCCTATCAATCCCCTTCAATTCTTGCACATTTCAAGAGATCACTGCTCAAACTTCTAAATTAGAACATAGAACAGAGAACAGTACAGCACAGTACAGGCCCTTCGGCCCACGATGTTGTGCCGACCTATTATCCTACACTAAGATTGAACTAACCTGCATACCCACTATTTTACTATCATCCATGTGCCTATCTAAGAGTCGCTTAAATGTCCCTAAAGTATCTGACTCCACTGCCACTGCCGGCAGCGCATTCCACACACCCACCACTCTGTGTACCTCTGACATCTCCCCTGTACCTTCCTCCAAACACCTTAAAATTATGCCCCCTCATAATAGTCATTTCTGCCCTGGGAAAAAGTCTTTGGCTATCCACTCTATCTATGCCTCTCATCATCTTGTACACCTCTATCAAGTCACCTCTCATCCTTCTTCGGGGATGAATGAAAAAAAGCCCTATATCCCTCAAACTTTCCTCATTAGACCTGCCCTCCTGTCCAGGCAGCATCCTGGTAAATCTCCTCTGCACCCTCTCTAAAGCTTCCACATCCTTCCTATAATGAGGCGACCAGAACTGAACACAATATTCCAAATGTGGTCTAACCAGGGTTTTATAGAGCTGCATCATAGCCTCGCAGCTCTTAAACTCAACTCCCCTGCTAATGAAAGCCAACGGGTAGCAACTTTGAGAGATCTATGGATGAGGACTCCAAGATCCCTCTGTTTGTCTACACTGCTAAGAATCCTGCTATTATCCCTGTATCCTGCATTCAAATTCGGCCTTCCAAAATGAATCACTTCAAACTTTTCCAGGTTGAATTCCATCTTCCACTTCTTTGTCCAGCTCTGCATTCTGTCAATGCCCCGTTGTAACCTACACACTATCCACAACTCCACCAACTTTTGTGTAATCGGCAAATTTACCAACCCACCCTTCCACTTCCTCATCCAAGTCATTTATAAAGACCACAAAGAGCAGACGTCCCAGAACAGATCCCTGCGGAACACCACTGGTCACCGAGCTCCAGGCTGAATACTTTCCATCTACTACCACCCTCTGTCTTCTATTGGACAGCCAGTTTTGTATCCAGACAGCCAAATTTCCCTGAATCCCATATATCCTTACTTTCTGAATTATCCTACCATGGGG